CTGAGGAGGGTTAATACTTGGATGGGTGACCTAAAAATTATACCTATTCAAGCTTTTGATCCTTTTTTCTTTTTTCTTTCTTTTTTTTTTTTCTTCTTCGTTAACCGATTTCAATTAGGAAAAATTCTTTTATTTCTATATTAATAAGAATATTAAATTCTGAATGTGACTTAGTTTAGTAAAAACAATATTCAAAACAAATTTTAAAGGTCACAGTGGTTATATTTGAAGTGATAAACAGTTAATGAATAAAGTAAATAGCATGAGTTAAGGGAAAAAGATCTAATAATGTAAAATTGGACATTGAGTATAGTGTATAGTGTAGGTACATAGAAATCACTATCGGCAGATTCAGGATTTCTCGAGGGCAATAATACCTATAACAAAGCGTTGCTTCTCAAAAGAACAGCAGATACTATATAAGATTTGATAACAATTTACGATGATAACGTGCCCTGAAACTGAGAGTGGTCACTGCAAAGGTTTCTTTACGACCTCAGTTCTTGTACGTCCCTAGTGATTATAAGGTGTGCAGAAACGGGACCGCCATTTCAAGTGTTCATCTGAGCCAAATGAAAATCAAACCCGCCATTTGTAGCTGTTAGTACAAAGGCAGCACCTTCTCCTAAGTTATTTTGAGTCAACGACTGTTGTTCCTGCCAGGAATTAAACCAACGACCTACCGCACAACAGTCCGAAGCTCAACCAACTTAGCCAACCAGGTGTCGGCTAGGAAGGGTTTGCCAAATTAAAACAAGGGAGCAAGTTTTTTTTGCACCTCATAGTGTGAATCAAAGTCGTACTTTTCCAAACCATAACATTTACAGGTGTCAAAAGACTGAACGTCTTTGTTATATAATTAACAATACTACTTACATCTTCTTTTGTTGGTAGGGCTAAGACATCTCGTAGCTTTACCACATTGGCAGCACGTCAAACCAGRTGAGCAATCGTTGTCATGGGAACACTTGGGAGATGAGTCACACGTTCGATGGTCCTCTATTGTAGGGCACTTTACTTAAATGAAATGAGAAGTATAGCACAAGAATTTAAGAGAAGCCATTACTAGTAACATTCAACTCCCATAAAAAGATGTAAGTAACCATACTTGTCTGTGAGCCAGCATATTCCCAGATCAGGAGCCCATTACTAGGAGTATCCATCTCCCATACTGGGTCTATGAGCCAGCATACTCCCAGATCAGGAGCCCATTACTAGGAGCATCCATCTCCCATACAGGGTCTGTGAGCCAGCATATTCTCAGATCAGGAGCCCATTACTAGAAGCATCCATCTCCCATRCTGGGTCTGTGAGCCAGCATATTCTCAGATCAAGAGCCCATTTTTAGCTTTATGCATCCAAATGCACACTTTACTTACCAATATTTTTACAGTCAGGTATTCCCCAACGTTGGGTTCCAGAAATGGCATATCCCGAGGAATCTACGCACCAGTGATAATCTGAATTACCATCGGACTGAAGACTATTATAGTTTCCATTCGCATCACAGTCGGGTACATGTCGGCCAATACTCGGAACTCCAAACTGACCGAGGGATTTACGACGAGCAGCTAGACATAGCGTTGACTTTTCTACAATAAATATTAATGAAAAGAATAATAAAGATAACTCAGTGTTGGAACTAGAAATAAGTGTGTGATGTCAATGAGGATCAAACTATGGACCTCTTGCTTAGCAGGCAGCACACAAACTAAAAAAGGCACACTTGCTCATTAAAACAAGTGTGTGAGGTCACTGAGGATCAAACTATGGACCTCTTGCTTAGCAGGCAGCACGCTAACCAACCAAGCCACACTTGTTCCTTAAAACAAGTGTGTGAGGTCACCGAGAATCAAACTATGGAGCAACACACTAACCAACCAATATAAGCCATACTTGCACCATACCTCCACGGAGACTGCATACTGGTACTCCACCACTAACTCTGGTTTGTGGAATCTCTTTGCCTTGCCTATCAACACACCAACAGTATGTACTAGATCCATAACATTGCACAGGTTTGTATTCTCCTGTACGCTCACACTCTGGCTGATAATGACTCGTTGATAGAAAAGCTTTTCTGTGCTGAACTTCGTAGCAAAGCGGAAGGATACCTAAGTAACAGAAAAAAATATAATACTTACGTCTTGCGTGTACATATACAGGCTCCAACAATTAGCTACTTTATAGTTAATTTGTAGTCATCTTTTAAAAGCTTCCTTCAACACTAGATGGGAAGCATGTATATTTTTAAACTATTGAGCAATGTACCTCCACAACTTTTTCTGCATTTCTCATGAGTCGCGAAGTTATTTGCATTTCCACCACAACCGCTGTACGTAAACTGCAGGCACTGTCCCAACCTACTGTTGTAGTACCAAGAACGTAGAGAGGCTAAGCATCCACGCCTTCCTGACTTCAAGGGGAGGTTGCATTGTTTAACAGCTGTAGACGTAGGATATGTGACAAAACATTATAATAGAACCACATTTTCTTTCCGGCTTTTATTTGCATACTTATTTATATTTTTCATTAGATTTTTTTTCGTATGACAGTGAAAAAATGGGTGCTGTATGCGTGCCTTGCAGCGAACGTGCTGTTTTCTACAATTTTGATGGGTGATTTTATTTCTCGCGCAATTTGATTGGTCTGGCAGTTCCGTAACCTTGGCGTGATCGTGGCCGTGTTACACTCATGATAGCAGTCTTCCTTAATTTGTTGTTTGTTTTATGAGGGTAACACTTAATAGTCAGTGGTTAACAAACCTGTGACCCTCGTTCCAAGATCAAATTGGAATTTATATTTATTGAGTTGATTTTTGCTAAATGGATGAAAACCGAAAAATCCAGAGAAAATCCCTCAAAGTAAAGGAGAGAAACAACTAGAAATTCTATTTACACATGAAAACACAATCTAGTTCGAATGTTTTTCTAATTATAAYTGTAATGGCATTCGTTTAGCCAAAGTCAATAATAACATCAGGATCGTTCCTTTTCATTATAGTTCAAATTATAAATATTGTACTAACGATCAAAACGTTTTTTTACAAGTAATAAAGCCAACACACCGCCATATTTTGAACATCATAGTTTTTAAAAATGCACGTGAATTGTGTTTTGTCAAGTAATCGTTTTCGAAAAAAACAACTTCGAGTTGAAGACGAGCTCGGATTTTTTCTTCCGAGAAAAATTTGCTTGACGAAACACGCACCATTCACATCATTAATACTATCCAAAAAGCCTACCTCTTAGTTCATTTCTTGTGTAGTTTTTAACAATTTTCACCATTTCTTTTCCATTTTTAGCGAGGTCATTATAATCCTTAACAGTGTAGACATCAGAAGGACTTGAGCAAACATCCATGAGTTCACCCAGTTCAATTAAACTCTCAATTCCTATGCAGTAGATCTTGATACCTTTGGCTTTGAGATCTTCTGATGCGATTGATAATGGGACGTATCGGCCCTGGTCACGTGTTTGCTTCTTATCCATGATAACTATAAGTACCTAAGATAAAAAAAAAACGCAAATAAGAAAAAGTTAAACAAGCTAAGCTAACTTTCTTGTGTTCCTTGGTGTTCTAGATCCCCCTAATGAGACAGGACCGCCATTTTACGAGGCAATACGAGTGTCTAGCCATTTGGCACATATTTTAAGGTTGATCTGGAGGGTCCTGATTGGCCTATCAGAGACGACCGGCTCTTCAGGTTTTTTTTTTATAAAATATATATATAAAGTCGACATGTTTAAGTAATTTTATGTTGCTCCGTTTTGAGATAACAGATGGTTTTCTTCGTAGTCTATACGAGTTCCTGTGGATTTGGACGAAACTTTCCCGCCAAAAAGCGCGCGCTCGGGTTCTAGCAACCGTCTGAAAAATAAACCGCGCTTGCTCAAGCTTTCTATCTTTAGAGCCATTGGTCTCATGATGAACTATAATTCTTGTGGATTTGAGGGAGCTAATTCCTGTGGTTTTGGCGATACGTTTCGCGCCAAAACGCGCGCGCTCGCATGCCGGAGGTTTACCTTTAGAACCATTGGTGTCATTCCATTATATTCATTAAATATCTCTTGGTCTACCCATTGGAGTCCCTTGTCCAGTCTCGTAACACTTCCAGTCATCTTCATTCCATCTAGAACTTTCTCTACATTTTCCTTCGAAATACTCCTTCCTTCCAGAGAGCTAAAGCTGAGAGGCGAGTGAACATCGTCTGCAAACACGGCAAAGCTGAAGCGAGTGCCCGTTGGGGAAATATCGAATGAATTCACGATAGACTTAGTGAATGTCTTCATAGCAGTGATGGCTGGGTCAGACGACGATGGTGGGAACATTATAGCAATGTCTAGTGGAAATCTTTTTTCTGTAAAAAAATAATGATCATCATAATTTCTCAAACAATGCTTAAGGATATTCATGGCTCATGGCTTGCTTTTCTATAGTCGTAAAATCAAGGGTCGTGTAGCAGTATAACAATCGCTTCTCTGGGGTCACGGGTTTGATTCCTGGCAGTGGACCAAGCGTCACGTGTGAGTAGAGCTCGTTAGGTCTTTCCCTTGATTCGAGGGTTTTTCTTCTGACTCGCTCCGTTTTTACTCCCTCCTAAACACCCAACAAGGTAGATATTCTGTAACTTAGCCGTGCCATGCCTTTGTGATCAGCCCAGAGGTTGTTTTGGAGTATCGATAAAATGTGATGGCGTGAAGACATGATTAGGAAAACTAAGAACCGAGCTCTAATTGCAAAATGCTGCAAGTCAAAAACAGGGCCAAACCTGAGGGTGTCCTTTGGCACTGTGGATCTCCCCATGTCCTAGACCCAATAAGTYCTTGTCCCTTTTCGTTAACGCACCAACACAATCCTGTCCCAATGTGACACTGTACGTCTTTGTATTTGCCGTCAGGTTTACACTGAGGAACATAGCGCCCTGGATTCGGTCTCCCTGTCAATCCCAAGGCCATTAGACGATGACGTTGACAGCTTGTCATCTTTGCTGGAATAAAAAGAGGACACGATGAAATCATCATCATTATAACTGGAAATGCATTCTTGCTATTGTAAAAATGTGAAATTTGGCTTTCAAGCTCGTCCGACAAATGGCTACGAATGGCTAATTCTTTCATATTGGCTTTTTTTAAATATAGTAACTTGGTCGACTCAAATGTTGATTTTTTACCACTTACCAGCTTTAGCACAGTCTGGTCTCTTTCCTGTCGTAACACTTCCTGGAAATTCATTACCATTTTCATCCACACACCAACACTGACCGCTAAGACCATGGCATTGTACGTGCTCAAACCCACCGTCCAGTTTACAGCGAGGAACAAATAAAGGTAATGACGAACCAACAAAGATATTTCTTAGTGCTTTGTCCCTCTGAGCTTGGCATCGTGTAAAAGGTGCTATGGAGAAGAAGAAGGTTGCATGAAAATATAAGGCTTGTTTTCGCTTGATTGGGCAAGAGAGATTAAAGGCAAGTGTGGGTTAGCTATTCTTTTCTCGTTCTTTAGCTCATACACCTAATTCCTTGAATTCAACGAAACCATTTCCATGTCGGAATGACCTATATATCGCCTATCGCCTTTGGCGATGACAATTTTTTTGAATTAGGTGTATCATTAGTTTTCGCAAATACCAACGGTAAAATAACACTACACAACTTCAACAATACAAACACTTTGAAATTCCACGGAACATATGAATATTCAACACGGACTAACCTTAAGCAACAGAGAATTCAAAACTGCAGTATAAATCGTTATAGTAATAACCTACCATCACCAGGGCAAATGATTAATCCGGCAGTCCTCATTCCATCAAGTTCCTGCCCGTCTCGATCCACGCACCAGCACTGTCCTCGTGTCGTATCGCACTGTATTGAGTCATAGCTTCCGTCAGTTTTACACTTGGGAATGTAACTCCCCTCTGCTTTTGGTTCGTATGTATGCCTGATCTGCTCTCGTTGGCATGGAGATGGGATAAATCCTGGAGAGACTAGATAACCAGTCAGTTAGAATACATTTTAGATCAGAACGGTTTCGATGATGATAAAATAATAATAATAATAATACGGACCACTGGGAGCAGAATTAGGATAAAACGTAGAGGTGTAAAAAATAAAAACAGAAAAGTTGGCTATATTGGAATTTTTGGCATTTGAGGGAAAGATAGCGTTCTCCATAACATGTCAATTTACGTTTACCAGTTTTATGGCAAGTTTTGGATAGCAAGAAATCTGAATTGTAAGGATACTCTCTGGTTGATAGCACATGATGGGCAATGTTTGACTGTCTTTGTAGACTGGTAATGAGATTCATGAGATTCATTCAGCTGATTGATACCTAGTGTAAGGATACTCTCTGGTTGATAGCACATGATGGGCAATGTTTGACTGTCTTTGTAGACTGGTAATGAGATTCATGAGATTCATTCAGCTGATTGAGACGACACGAGTGAAAAACGTCTGCGCATGCTCTGAATCCGTATGCAAATTAGTCAAATCATATGTAAATTTGACTTTCAAACATGCCTGATAAATTGGACTTCACAAAACGCCAAAACTTAGTGTCCATGCTTGAAACTTAAGGCTAATTCTTTCATATTGTGTTTGTTGGTACAGTATCTTGGTCTGACAAAAGTATACTCTCGAACTTTTTTGTATACTTGGAGAAAACAAACATTTATTTTCTCACTCAAACTCTTCAAAATTCTTAGAAAACGTGCTGAAGTGCACGCATGCGCAAGCGTTTTTCTCTAGTGTCGATTGAGACACCAAGCAATAGAGTACTCTCTGTTCGATTGTAGATGACGGACAGTGTTTGCCTGTCATCGTATAGGCTGTTAATGAGATTCATGAGATTCATTCAGATGATAGACACCTGGCAATAGAGTATTATCTGTTCGATTGCAGATGACGGACAGTGTTTGCCTGTCATCGTATAGGCTGTTAATGAGATTCATCTACGTGATTGATACCAAGCAATAGAGTCTTCTCTGTTCGATTGCAGATGACGGGCRGTGTTTGTCTGTCAATATAAGCTGGAAAAAGATTAATCTACGTGATTGATACCAAACAATTTCTTTATCATATATGTTCTTACCGGCTGCCTTACAGTTTGGTTGTTCCTGCATGACGCTAACACTTGTTCCCAGTACTTCAAATCCACGGTCATTTACGCAGAAGTAGCGCGAGCCCTGGATCTGAGTGGGTTTGTAAGTGCCACTCTTCTTGCACCAGGGAGTGAAGGTACCAGAATGAGAGGAATTAGAGGTAAGAACGTAATCGTTCCAGCAGGATGAAGAAATGGTCACTAAAAGATGACAACAAAGATTTGAGGTAACGTATGTATATACAATGGATATATATGCATATGTATATGCGCGGAGTTTTCGTGTGTCAGTGTATACACATATATATATATA